CACACACACACACTCACACACCCTACCTGCTACTATTCCTGAGGGTTTGAATTTAAATTCCGGTGATGTGTTTAAGTCTTGGTAACTTCTCCAGAAACTGATTCACATACAACTTCTTTTTCTTCTTGTTACTCCTTACTGTCCTAAATTCTGAAAAACATTACCTACCACTCAGGACTGTGGACTTAGTGGCTTAGTTAGTGGGCTACTTGTTGCTATATATTTTCTTCATTTTGTATGGGAGGAAATCTGCATTCAGAGAATAGGTCTCTTTGACATCAATGTTATTTTACAGGAGAGGCTCTGAAAGCGGCAGTCTTCTGTGTATAAAGAAATTCTTCCTTTTGTTTTTATTTTTGGGCTGCACCTAGTGATGATGAGAGGTTACTCTTGACTCTGAACTCAGGAATTATTCCTGGTGGGGTTCATGGGATCATATGAGATACTCGGGTATAAGACCCAGATCCATCGTGTGCAAGGCAAACACCCTACCTATTGTACTTTCTCTCCTGCCCTGGAATTCTACCTTTGTAAGTGTCCCTTTCTCCCTGTGTTGGATAGATTTGATCATCCTTGTGATCATAGAGAAGGAAGGGACTTCTGTCCTTCTATGGTCCATGATCTTGCCTTTGTTGCTGTACTTTTTCTGGTGACCTCCCATGTTGGTTTTATCCTACCCCACTGTTTTATTTATGTTAACTTTAATTTTGTTGAAATATTAATTCAAAACAAGCATTTAAAATGAAGAATATTATATAACACAACTTCCACTGAAACCTCAGCATCTTTTACTATGAAAGATGAAAATGAAGATAATGGAGGATATTCAAGTTCTGACAACTGACTATGGCATGAATCAGGATATATAGTCATGAATGATTGTACAGGTTATGTTGAACTGAAACACAAGTGAACTTCAGAGGGGAATTGTAAATTAGAACCTATTTTTAGCGGGTGGTTGAAGGTTAGAGGCTTTCCAAGGTTTTACTTTAGAAGTAAGAAACTGGAAATAGCAGTAAGAAAATACGTCTCATATTAAGAAACTGCACAGTGCAGATAGGATCAAGTGAGGCATATATATCATGTACAATTGGCATGTTCCATTCCACATATATTTTATGCAAGAATCACAGTGTTCAGAGTGAAAAGACAGCAAGGCTACAGAAACATTCCAAACAAATTCGTGGATGGTGAATTTTAGCTTGAAATATTAGAAATTATAAAGGAAATTTAATAATTTCCCCCTTGAAGTGATTGTTTAATGAAAACATGTTTATTTAACATATGAAATCTCAATTCCAAAGGTACTTACCATGCTAGTTCTATTTATACTTAACAACTTAAAGCATAACATAAGGCATTTTCCACAAACAGCTCTGTTTTTTCTGAAACATACTATTGAATCAGAGATAGTCAAGTCATTCTGGATGGAATTGTGCACTGTATTCTTAAGACTCTGACTCATTTTTCTTAGTTTTTGGCAGTTTCTCAAAAGGGAAGATAGAAGCAGAAAAGTCTAAAGGGTTGCTCATGTTTCTTATCCTTGTGCAATCCCGTTCCCAGTCAGTCTGCTTTTAGTTACTCTCGGATTGATTCCAGAGAAGCAGACTTCTGGTCAGGTTTATCCATGTGTTTAGAAAAAAAAAACCCATTTTTGGATTACTTGGCTTTCAAAAATTATATTTTGTATTGAGCTTTTGATCTCAGATCAGTTGAACTCATGATGAGTTGGAAGTACAGTAAACACATCCAGGAATGGATACAGTGCTCCTAAAATGCAAGCTTCTTTTAATTTAATAAAAGTGCAAAGGAAGTGAGATATCTGCTGAGAAAAGGAACAAGTATTTCCATTTATACTAGTTCCTTTAGAATGTTCAGATGGAAACTGGACATTTCTGGATTCTTTCATAGGGGAGTGGTCAATTTTCCCTAAAATGAATAGTTATCCTGTTATATCCAAAGTTGAAATTCTGGTCCTGGATGCAGATAACATCAAAAGCTTAGTGATAATAAACTTGATCTTTTATTCTGTTTCTAAGAAACAGAGTCTCTTATGAATATTTGACACATGAGTGCCAGATATTTTGCTAGATGTATTCATACTTTTACTTTTTTAATTACATAATAAAATTTCAACTTTTATTACTGTTATTTTTACAGATGAAGATAATTCCCAGAACCACATAATAAAAGTGTGCCTGGAATTTGAATCCTGGTCTGTAATGTCCTAAAATTCTTTCTATTAACATTTGTTTCTAGGATGTTTGAGGGCATGTTTGAGGACATGATCTATACCAACTGCTCATTGAGAATTCTGAGAAAGAGTTACTTTTGCTTAAGATTTAAAACTCACAACAACAATAACAACAAAAAACCACAAAAGCATGAATATCAGAGAAATATGGAGGTTGAAAACAAGGCCCTAACTAATTCTTCTGAGCTTATTGTTAAAAGAGATCTAATTTAAGACACTTTCTCAACTGATTCTAAATTTCCATGCATGTTAGTAGACAATACCTATGAACTTTATCTAAATACTAGTGATTATGTTATAATTGAAATTCTATTTGCGGATTCAGAGTTTACCTGATAGTTTTGAATATGTGAAGAAAACCCTTGATTTATTTCTTTGGGGATACTGCCAAAAGTTTGAATGTAGGAGATGCTGATTTGATGAGTTTATCTTCCAACTTTGTTTTTTCCCCTTTATTTCTTTTCTTTCTTCTTCCTGTAACTTTTGACTGTTTCAAAATTGCAACCAATTGATAAGACTATGACTCACAAAGATGGTTTAAAACAGAGACAGCTGGGGATCCACTCAAGTGGTGAATCAGTCTAAAGTAATTACTAATTTATTTAAATTAATTATAGCAATCTATTCAAAGTTATGTTGAGTTAAATAAAAAAAACACTTTTCCCAGTTTATGAAGAAAATCTACGGCTAGGTGATAGTAATTATGAATTGGATGCAGACACTGGAGAAAAGTTTTGTTTGGTACCAGTATAAATGCTATCACCATGTTAAGTTTTTTGATTTTATTTGTGGTGAGGGTGGGTACTCAGGACTTAATCCTGAACTCTGTGCTCAGGGATCACTGTTGGATGTAGGGCTAAGGATAAAATGAAGATTGACCACATACAAGGCAAGAGTGTTAACCCCTTATTATGTACTATCTTTCTGTCCCCAGTGTATTAGTTTAATAAAGCATTTTTGGTGGTTGAACAGAACCTAGTAAAGCAAGATGTCTCATGCAACTTACATTCCTAACTCATGCAAATTTAATTTTGTTTAGCACCATCTGCCCAAATAACCTTTATTTCCTTTGTAACTTAAAATGAGATATGCATGTTTATTTATGTGCTTATGTTTGTGAAAATATATGAGTATTTACATGTTACATAGGATTGTTAAGTACCATTAATCCTACTGTTTTGATTGCAGTGAAATTAGTTTTGAGATAAATGAAATTCTGAAAATTTGAGGCTAGGAAGATGGTGTTGAGAGTCAATTCTGAAAAGTGAGTTGAGGATAAAATAGGAAGGTTACAGGCTATGGGAATAAAGTATAAGACAAGGTCTGGGAATTAAGTCAGGACAGGCTAATGTTCCGGGAGACAATGAGTGCTTGAGTTACTATTTGTACGTAGCATTTGGTACTTGATTCTTTGCTAATTTCTACAGGTTCAGACAGCACTTTTTTTTTTTATTGTGTCAAGTGGTTCTTTATCAAAATTTTTTCAGGAGTGAAGGTCATCTGTGACAGATCAGACCACTTGTTTTGATCTTGAAGAATATTTGACTAACACATAAATAAAAAAATTCTTGAAAATTGTTGTTTTCCCATAATGTGGAATAAAAGAAAGTATACAAGAATAAGTTAGAAAATGTGTGTCATAATATTAAAACAAACAAAAATTTGATGAAGGGCCAGAGAGGTATTTTACTGGGCTGAGTGCATGCTTTGTATGCAGAAGCCTTTGGAATTCACTCCTGGGAAAAGCATGGACCTCTGAGCACCACCAGGCTAAGCTCCTAGCACCGAGCCAGAAAGCAGCTGCTGAGCACCAGACGTGGTCCAAAACCAGGGGGGTGGTGGTGGGCTGGGGTGGGGGGGGAAGAGAGAGGAGAGGAGAGGAGAGGAGAGAGAAAGGAGAGAGAGAGAGAGAGAAGAGAGAGAGAGAGAGAGAGAGAGAGAGAGAGAGAGAGAGAGAAGCAAGTGCTGGAAGTTCAAAGCTCTTCCCTCCTGACAACACCTTAGCAACAGAAAGCCCCATATGGGAGCAGCTTGTAAGAAAAGGCTGCAAAGCCAACTTTATATATTTCAATATACACGTAAAGGTAAAGGCCCTCCCGTTGATCATCGATTTGCTGTAGCGGGCCCAGGAACGTCTCCATTGGAGACTTTGTTGTTACTGTGTCTGGCATATCGAATATGTCACAGGGAGCTTGCCAGGCTCTGCCGTGCGGGCGAGATACTCTCGGTAGCTTGCCGGGCTCTCCGAGAGGGGTGAAGGAATCGAACTCGGGTCGGCCATGTTAGCTGCGTGCAAGGCAAACGCCCTACCGCTGTGCTATCGCATCCATCCAATATACACGTATATTTATTTATTTATTTTTGGTGAGTGGGCAGGGACACAACTGATGGTCTTAGAGCTTACTCCTGGCTCTGTACTCAGGGGTCACTCCTGTCAGTGCTTGGGGGGACCCTACGTGGTGCTGGGGATTGAACTCAGATTGGCTGCAGGCCAGGCAAGTGCCTTACCTTTTTTTTGCTTTTTGGGTCACACCTGGCGATGCTCAGGGGTTACTCCTGGCTCTGCACTCAGGAATTACTCCTGATGGTACTTGGGGAACCATGTGGGATGCTGAGGATCGAATCTGGGTTGGCTGCGTGCAAGGCAAATGCCCTCTCTGCTGTACTATCACTCTGGCCCCAAGAGCTTCACCCTTGCACTACCGCTTGGGTCCATGTAAAGTCAACTTTCAAAAGGCAAGTGGTGAGGATTATACTTTCAGGGCTCATTCCTATAGTCTGTTATCAGAGAAGTTTCTCTGATGTTGTGGAGCACCTGAAATCATGAGGAGGAGCCAGAGCATCCTCTTCTGGGTATGAAGCCGGTTCTAGGTGTTGTTTTTGCAAAGTCCTTTTATGTTGATGCTCTTTATTCTATTCCTTTGGAAGAGTGAGAAAGAGAGGATGCAGTCTGAGTGGTTCCGGTGGTGGGAAGGGGGTGGTGGAAGCTAAGTGGTGCATTTTTCCCATCTTGGAATTTATCTCCCACCTTTTCTCTATCTCCACCTGAGATGTGTACTTGCAACTCTCTCTCTCTTTCCTCTGGAGAACCCTAGTTTTCTCTTGAATATGTAACTCTCTCTTTTCTTCCTCTTAATCCCTAACCAAAATTATTTGCTTCACTTTTTGTGTCCTCCTGAAATTCTCTTCAGCAAGGGAAAGCATGAAATATCTAAATAACCTGTGTGGAAGTCAGGACTGCTTATTGTCTTCCTGAAAACAGCAATTTCTCATTCTATCCAGGGTTCCACAGCTCCCCAAGAAACTCGAGTTGCAAGGATTAATTTTCATGCAGTGTAGATAAGGTAGAAATCAGATGCAGACTGATGACTTCCATGTGAAGAGAAAAGTGGTTCTGGTGAGATAGAAGGTCTGTACTGTGCATGCTTGTGGCAGATTGTTATTAACCCTTAACATTGAAGCATTTCCTTTGGTGACCGAGGTAGGAATAGAGGAAAACTGTAAACTGCCCTCTTGAGGCTACTACTTCTTTTCATCCCACTTCACCTACTATACTATCCTTTACCTCTAAAAACTAAAGTCAAAGAGAAAAACAGGCTATTTTCTCTTCAGGTGAAAGGGCCTGCTATATAAATGCATTGGCTGATCAATTTTCTGTCCCTGTACTGTATTATACTCGGAATGTGCGACGGAAAACTGAAGTTGGGATTTATTGCAACTTCTCATCTCTGAGCCACAAATAATGTCAGCAGACTCCACAGAGAAGAAGCAGCCTGAGCGAGAAAGGCACATGATAGCTTGAACCATCAATCCAGGAAATTCTGACAGGAGCAGAAAACCACCAACTTTTTTATGAAGAGATGTAATTTTCTTATCTATCCCTAGTGGAAAAATAAAATCAAGAGTTAGATTTACTGAACGTAAGAGGAGCCTTACTCATGAGTTATGATCCTAATGCATTCCACAGCTGTAACTCTTCCTCCAAGGAGCCAAGACTGACCCAGTCAAAGCCACCACTAAATCCTGTAAGCAGTCACATCAAAAATTAAAGTACAGGAGGAGTTGGGAGGGGAAGATACCTCCGGGAAATATCAGATGATTTGAGTTGTCAGCAATTCCTGTTATTCCTCTATGAGAAAAAGCAGTAACTGTGATTTTTAAATGTTTAATTGGATTGTCAGTTCAGAAATGGTGTCGGTTCCTGCTCCCACTACATATTCACATACTATAAAAAGGACTTAGATAAGTAGCATTCTATTACAATGAATATCCAATAGACACTCTCCCCCAAAAGAAGACATAAAGATTTTATTTTGTTTTGTTTTACTTGTCTTGTAAATAAACATCAATGCTCAAAACAAGGAGCAAGATCTATGAAATATCACAGCCAGACTGCATCTCCATTGCAACAGCAAAATACAGAAAATTCCAATACTCTCTAGTGCTCAGTGTAGATCTGACAGTAGAACAACAACAACAACAAAAAGCCTGAATTGCTTCAAGTTCTTCTATTAAGAGTCCTTCCAGTAACTGCTTTTTTTAAAATGAGAAAATTATTTTTTCCCTTTCATAGGATTATTTGTTACATATGACTTAGTGTATCAACCAGTGTTTACATATCTGCGTCATAAATGCTCAACCAGATTTCAGAGCATACTGAAGAGCACTTGTGAAATAGTTGGATGCTGTATGAATACAGAACAGAAGCTGTCTGTAAAAGCTCTCTACAAGAGGATCTTTCAGTTGCTCTGTCTTAGGGGATTAGAAACTGCTTTCCCCTTCTTACATTGGATTCACTGATATTTTCTTAGTGATATTTTCTGTAGTGTTTCTTAGAAACACTACACTATTCTTACAATAAAAGCAAAACATTGGAATAAAGACTACTGAGAGAAAGAGGAGCCTTTAATTTTCTAATATTTCCCTTTGTGAAACACAATTATATTACCATTTATAATTCTAGTGGCCTTCAAGCACAATCCCTTAGCTTTAACCTCTTATAATAGCATGTTCTTTACAAAGCTATTCCATTTTTTTTTAAAAAAAATAAGTATCTCTGACTGGAAAATGAAAAACTTTTATAGCATCTACATCTTAAAGATGTGAGGATAAATGAAATAATTTATATGAAGCCCATTGCATATTGTTTTATTTAAATTCAAATCAGTCTTAAAATGCCATTATTATTTTTCATTCTATAGATGAGGAAACTGAATTTTATGTAATTTGTTAAATTAAAATCCCAGGATTTGACTGAGGGAAGGTAGGGCAAAAGGGCAGAGCACACACCTTGGATATACAAGGTTCTGAGTTTAATTCCCAGGACTACATATTGTGTGGTACTTTAAACTCTACTGGTTGTAACCCTTATGATTCCCAGAACTTATGAGTCTGAGCATGCAACTATCAAGGTACCAGCCACTATGAGTGGTCTCAGGGCTCACAAGACTTTCTGGGAAGGTCCCTATAAAAACATCCCTAAGATCACACTCAACAAATATGGGACATGACATTTAAAACTTGCCCTGCTAACTTTAGGACCTGGAATAAATCACTGCAATGTAATCCTCTCTAAATGTTTAATTCTTTGTCACGAGAAAGGACTTTGTCACGTTCAGAAAACTTCTATGTAATTTTTATATTTGTGATGTGGGTTATTAGACTTACCACGATTATTTGGCATGATTTTCAGTTTTCATTCTATTGTACAGGTTCAGCATTTCTAATAAAATGTTTCAAATATATATTGCTAAGATATTTTCAAGAGATGCTGTAATTTTATAGCCAGCAAGTTAGTCTCAAAGGTAGTTGCAGTGAAGTCTCTGATGTTCAGAATGGGAAGAAAAAATAAGCTGCCGGTTTGTAGAAAATCAAGTTTCCTGTCTGTGTGTTCTGAAGTTATACTTACATTCACAACTGTTAATCTGGCTGCCACCTAATTGGAATTGCTAATAGAACTATGATATGTTACTTTTCTGCAAGTCAATACCAGAACATCTAAATCACAGATCAAATTACCCTGCACCCACTCCAAGTCTCATAGTTTTAGGCTGAAGCTTTATGGCCTCTGACTCCTTTATACCTTTAAAAAGTATTGTGGACCACAAAGTGTGTATTATGTGCATTTCATACCCAGTGCTTCATGTTACATATCAATTGCTGGGGTCTGTACTTAAAATTAAAATTGAGAAATTTAAATTTAAAAACAATGATAAACCTGTTCCATAATAAACCATTTGTGAGTTCTAATGCAAATCAGAGTCAGCACATACAATATATCTAATGAAAAATAGGCATTTGTTTGTTTGGGAGTCATACTGGAGGTGTTTGAGGATTACTACCCCCTCTCTGTGCTCATGGGTCACTACTGGTAGTTATAGAAGCCATGTTATATGAGGGATTGAACCCAGGTCTCTGAAATGCAGAGCATATGCTCCATCCCTTGAGCTTTCTTTTTGGTCCTGTATTTTTTTTCAAAATAGAAATAGTATGTATATTATAATATTTATAAAGATTTGGATCCCAGAATGCTAATTGCCATCATTAAGTGGAAAGAGTTCACTTAAAAAATACTTTTAGTAAAGAACTGTAATTTACAAAGATATTTATAGTTGAGTTTTAGGTATATAATATTGACCCCAATCCCACCAAAATGTCAACTTCCCTCTACCAGTGCTCCCATATTCCCTCCCCATCCCAACCTGCATTCCATCCCTGCCTGTCAACTTGTCAGTCACCATTACAAAGTTTCAGTGGTTGCAGCTTAGATCTCATGTTTTCCATTTTGTTCAATCTGTGTTCTGGCTATATGACTATTCCACTCACCCATATCACTAGCATAACTGAAGCCCTGTTGCCTTTTCAATCAGGAAGTTCATTGCTTCCTGTTTGGAGAGAGCTCACTTTGAATTCAATTTCTTATGCAATATGATTTTATTGGAGGAAGTTCAGGTTACAATAGTATAAACACACAGTTCAACTTGCAGCAAAGAGGCAGAAAGTGGGCGTTACAAACCACTAAAGACAGAAACTTGGAAGAGCTGCTGCGTTAGCACAAGGTCTTCTATTTCCTTCACAGACGTCTATTCACAGAGAGGAATTCACTTCTGATTAGAGTTCACACTGCCCCTCACTAAAAGCTGGAGAAGGCCTGAAGTGGAGTGGAGACTCCACTGAAGTGTAGTCCAGAAGACAATGAGGCTAAGCTCAATTCTCAAATTTATGCAATAATTCAGAGCTGCATTTTGTTTTATTTTCCAGTTGGATAAATTATGAAATTTATTTATAGTTCACCTTTTAAAAAGCAGAACATAACAAATGCAGTAGGCTTTATACAAGGCAAACAGTTTCTTCCTTCCTTTCTTTTTTTGGAGGGGGGGTCACACCCAGCAATACTCTGGAGTTACTCCTGGCTCTGCACTCAGGAATTACTTCTGGTGGTGCTTGGGGGACCATATAGGATGCCTGAGATTGAACCCAGGTCGTCCACATGCAGGATGCCACCCATATAGTACTCTCCAACAGTTCCATCAAATGAAGTCTTGGGCCACTTTCCCTCTAGGAAGACTGGAATATCATCGTCTGGAGATCAGAATGACCTTTCCCCAGAAACAACAGTGGAGAAGATGAACTTCAGATATGGGGCCCTCCCTCAAAAAGCACAGCAGAAATACACATCTCACCCCAAGGCCCCATCTTGTTGGTTAGGAGGTCCCACCCCCACGCCACAGTCATCCCCAACATTGAGGAGATGTCCACCTCAGAGGACATAGGCCTGGAGCCCCAAGATGGATTTTTAAGACCAACCATCAGTTTTAGGTAGGACCTCTCACATACCCAGGTCTTTATCTGCTCTTGTCTTAGACATATCCACTTATCAGGATTTTTGTAAACATGAGGTTGCTTTTGATTGTCAGCATAAGTCATTCTCTTGAAGGTCCCCATATTTCCATCAGTCAA